AGAGAGAGAGAGAGAAAGATTGTCACTTCTTTGTATTAGTTTCCATACTTCATTATTGTATCAGTTTTTTTGAATGTTATCAAGTTCCATTTGGTTCAAAAGAGTTACACAAATCTGCATATCATCAGGTGGAGCTTGAAGTTGATATCATACACCAAAATCAAGTGATTACAGATGTTAAAAGTACTAGACAGAGGCATGAAAGTTACCGGGAGCTTGCGGTAGATTTGTGCCATAGCATCCTTCACTCTATTAACCTGCAGTAAATAGTTGTTACAACTTACAACTAATATGAGGCAAGATGGAACAATACCCGAGGAAGTGGTTTTGATTTTTCTGTATTTCTGGATCACAAACTATGGATTATCTGCCTACTTTTCTGTGCATATGACCACAGTTCATAATGGGTAGAATATTTGACTGGCTTCCAGATTTTCATACGAGGACATTCTAAAATTTGAACTTTCTAGAAACAGTAACCATGTGTAGACAGTATAAATTAATACATAAATGTGAATTAAGGGTACAATTAAGCACTGTAGATAACACAATATATCGATTGTATTGAAATAAACTTCTCAGAAAATATTTAGATGCTTAAAACATTATATTATGGTTTTTGCCATTTATGTTTCAATAGATCCATAACCAGTTTTCCTTAGTCCTGTGGACCATATTTTTCATACTCTTCCCATTCATGGAACTGTGTAAACATTAGAACTTTTTCTTTGCCCTTTCTTTTTTTTTGGAGAAAATATAAACGCTAGAACTTAAATTTCATTTTTGGGTCCTGCACTGAAATATCTGATATTTATTTTATGGGAACCAGCAATCATTTCAGTACAAAAGGAGTAATTATGATGCATGGTAGTTCAAACAGGTTGCCCTATCAGTATCACATGCTTCTAAAACTTGTGCAAAACCTTCAAAGAAAAACTGATTTTGTCACCAAGTTCATAGCCATATCTGCATTACACAAGCGTAAATTTTCAATATTTCCACAATTCTATGGGTTCATAGAACCCAGAAGCCTTTGTTAAGAAGCGAGCAAAAAAAATACCTTGGCATGCAAAAATGTTGTAGTAAGTGGGTAAGACGACCAAAAATGCCTCAGCAGTTCTTGAATAGAAGTCCAGTGCTACAAAAGCAGTTGCATGTCTTTAAACAGTTGAATTTCAACAATTTTATTAACCAAGGATGCAACAAAACAGAACTGCAAATCAGAGACCTAGCAAGGGAAGTGCTTTTTGGATGCAACTAATTATAATAATTGAAATGAAACATACCTGTAAGAGTTCCTCTTTAGTTCTGTGAGGTAGCATGTCAAGAACTGTAGCCTGAGGATTCTTTCCAAGCTGAGGATCTGTACTTGAAAGTTGCTGATTCACATCATTCAGAACCTGTATCCAAAATGTCCAATAAAGAAAGACGTTAACTATCAAACCATACAACCATGCAAATATATTTAAGATGAAACCAAGAACTGTTAGTTAGAGATTGCATCCATTGTTTATGAGCAATAATACTAAAGACATAGGGGTTATCAGAAACACACTGCCATAGAGATCGAAAAGGGTAATATAAATGTTATGTAACTGCCCGATTATGAGCCATTCGACAGTATGCCTCTACACTTTGTATATTCTGACCCAAGGCTTACCTTAAGGGCCAAGTCGGGTATAACAATCGGGTCTTTAAATCCTACTGATTTCACCTCTAAGATTTGTGCCCTCAGAGACTCATATGCTTGTTTAGTGCTCAGATGACAACAATCTTTATTTACTCCAGAACCTGTATCTCCTGTGGCTTTAAATGCATTTGCTCGCTGAGAATCAAAGTACTCCCGTGGATCCTGGAAAAAAAAAATTTATGAAACAAATAATTTATGAACATTATTTATGCCTCAAAACTAGCAATTAGAAAAAAAGAAGAAAAAAGTAAAAGAAAGAAAATAAATATGCCTCAAAACAAACTGATGGCATCTCTTACCTTGATACATAGGGGTGCATATGGTAAGCTTCGTGGTGCCTGTAGATCTTCGATTTCGGTCATTTGAGAAACTCTTTCCAGTCTTTTCTGGTTTTCAGTCTCATCAGAAGTTTCAGTTGCCACTTCAGCTGCAAATAAACTCTCAGAAAAATGTTGATAGAACGAACATACCATACCCTTCTAAACAGGGAGAAAAAAGAGAGTAAATAACATTGCTAACCCTGTTTGGACCTTGCAAGTGCTTCTGCTACAGTCCTTGTGTCTCCCAACTCCACATCTACATTCACAAAGCCATATACAATGCTTATGCCAATTCCAGGGGGAGTCAGAGATTGAATTTGAATGCTCTACAGTAAAGATAAAACAATCAGAAAGCCAGATGCAGCAAGAAGACTTACGTTAGTCCAGATTCAGAAGGTACAAGTACCAAGTAAACTGGTGGGTTTCCAAAACTTCATTCACACCCAAGAAGATGCAATGTTATCTATAATAAAAATAGCTCACTAAAAATATAATTTGTAGATAAGAACACTGCATAATAACTGAAGTGGAAGGAAACCAATCCTGTTAATTGTTGTCATAACCTCTCCACAAGATTCAAGGAAGTATGCCTTCGTCATTAATAATGGACTGTTCCCGTAGAAAAATAGTAGGGGGTAGAAGTCATAGGAATATAAAGTTCACCTTTTTGTTCATGGGTTCAAGGTTCCAACTAATAAAGAGAAGCAATGTTTTATATATCCCAACATTGCAAAGAATGGAAGAATGAAAAGACTGAGAATCTATTTATGTTAACCTGTATCCGTATAAATAATCTAAATATCCCACCTCGCAAAGGACAGAATAAAAACCTGACCGAGAACCTATCTATGCCATTGCATATCCAAATCCTTCCATTGTGACCACCCACTCATAGAATAAAAACCAAGCCTAAGCCACCTCATAAACCACCCAACCTGCCAATATCTCAGTACCTCATAACTCTCCTACACCTTAATTACTAAATGCTATGACCCCCACATCAGCATCTCTTCGAGATCAAATTTACATGCAGGTCTAAAGCTCTTTACCACCCCAATGGCTTCATTACCCCTTGTCAACTGGGACCAACCACTTCCAAAATCGGATTGGTCTCCTAAAACTTGCTCCCAACCTAAAGATGGCTATCCAATCAGCAAAGACCCCAAGAAACCTGCTCAAGTCCTTCAGGCCTGTACAGTTTCTATAAAGGGATAAGCCACTGAACTTACCTCAATGATCATCCAGAGAGGGTGAGTCAGGGCCTAAGATCAGGCCGAAACACGTAGTCAATGGACAACAATTAAATATTCCTGTACTACCCCTTGTTGTTCCCGAGGGACGGAGGAGGCTAGGTTAGCCGAAAGGTGGTTATTAGGGCTGACAATGGACCCGGACCCGAACCGGGACCCGATGGGTAGACCCGACCCAGTTCCAGGTATGGGTCCAAAATTTGGACCTAGAGGGTTTGGGAACAAATCTAGGATCCGAACACTATTTGGGTCCGGGTCTGATTGGGTCAGTTGGGTCTGGATCCGGGTCCCACATTATATTTATGGAATATATTTAAAGATATAGATATTTTGATTTTTGGCTCAGGTCCGGGTTTGTTGACATCAGGTCCAATTGCGTCTGGGTCACATAATATTTTTTTGGGTCCAGGTCCAGGTCTGGCCCCAACCCGTCGCCAACCGTAGTGGTTATCAGTTCAAGGATTGCCTAGACCACAATATCCACACTCTTCCCAAAATATTCATTGACAGTTTCCGAAGAGATTCTCTCTCACCATCTCTAGCCACCTAATCCTTTTCCTCTCTGTCGTATTTACAAAAAGCCTCACTTCATGAGATAAATAGATTCCTCTCCTATTGCAAGTCAACAAGAATTACCAGAACATCCTTTCTAGTTCTGCAGGCACCATGATCAAATAAAGAATATGGTATAACAAAAAACTAAAGAAAAGTCTCATTGATGAAGGCAGACCTCCACTAAAGAATAAAAAGCATCTTATCCCTAGGGTTAAGTCTATTCTGAGACTAAACAATAGAAGACTCCCCTTGGTCTTCTTACACAAAGGGGGAACCAAGAGTCACTCCACCTCACATTGCAAACTTCTCATTCCTCCAATTAAGTTCCCAAAAATTCTAATTGCCAGGATGAATCCTTTTCTTGGTTCAATCCCTTGACCAAAAGCAACCCCACAGCACGGGCCCCCACCCTTCCCAATGCCAAAGTAGGATCCCGAGATTTCTTCCTCTTCAAATCTTTGCTTCGTACATTCTGGCACAATGTTGTAGATGCTGTAAAAGTTCAGAACATAGCCCTGTAGTCAAGTGCGCACCTACACCCCAACGTTTAAGACCATTCTGATGATGTACGGTAACAAGAGAAAGCACAAATAAAGTTTCAACTAGCAGTCTCAAAAGATAGATCTCACTGCTACCTAATGTCCTCCCTTCCAGGACAACTGCTGCGTGGCGATTAAGATCTTGTAAGAGCGTTCTCTTTGGCAATTCTGACTCAGAATCAACACTCTCCTTGCTACCATCACGAAGAATTCCATGACCCTACAAATCAACAATGACAAATGTAAGAGAAATGAATATCAAACAACAAATGAATCTAGGTTTATCCCACTTTGAGACTAAAATTGTTACATAAAGCAAATGAAAACCGAAATTGTGGACGATAGGGATTAAAAGAAAACATGGTTTTATAAAAGAGATTTCCTCGCACCCTCACTACCGCCATCCATCACACGTGCCCATGCACACACAAATGAGCACGTGAATGCATGCGAAATCTGAAACAGCTGACGAGGATCCTAGGTTGTCCTATATTTTGAGTCGTCTAGCTATGGAAAAAAGATAATTAATACCGAAAATCACATAAATAAAGAATGCCCATTAATCAAGAAATCTGATAAAGCCCTTTATTGAAAAAATTCATTTTAAAAGGGAAGATTTTTTATTACCGGCAAATGCGAATAATCATCTCCTAGGTCAGCAGCCATATCTACAGTCGGATCTACTCGTCGGATCTGAACACAGTTAATCCAGAAGAAATTAATTAAGAATGTAATGATCAAATAATCTAAACAGTGAATCAATCATAACAGTTTTTTCCCTCGATAATATTCATAAAATTCCTTTCCCCACAAGATCATTTAGTATCCAATAACATATCAAACCACATTCTAGAGCACCATGAGATAGAAAATTTATTCTTGGATAGTGGAAAAAATTTATTCTTGCAAACTTAAAGAGCCTTCCATGACTTCTAATGTGGCAAGTTGGCAACCAAGAATTCCATGCAAGAACCATGAATTAAACATCATAGTTCTAATGTCAATAACATCATCTTTCAACTTCCAACAACCAATTAAACAGATTTCACATCAATTAATAAGCAAAAATAAGGACCCTAGAAGAGGTCTTGGCATGGTCATTGATAAAAACCAAATTCATGGCTGGAACTATGTTTAATCCCACTACAGAAAAAGAGAGATGGGCAATATGTAAAGTACATTTCCAGAACATCTGATTACAAAACCAAATTAATATATAGGCTCAACAAAACTTTTATGTAGCCAATTATGAAAAACGAAACATCAAGATAAGCATCATCTTCACTTAGCACCTTACGGCGAGCTTCGCTGGCCAATATATCATCATGCTTCAAAAATACAGCCAGTTCTTCATCTTCAGCTGCCTCTGCTGCTGCTGCCACAGAATTCTTGGTCCTATGGAGATACTCTGCTCGACAATACTTGGTCCAGAAATCCCTTTCACTCATCTGGTAACCCACAATACCATGTCATCGTTATTTTGGACAACCCAAAATATGACCCAGACCAAGCATAAGTATGTGTTTGTGTATGGAAGAAACAAACTTTGAGGAAAATAAACAAAAATTCAAGTTACCTTGCTTGGCACAAATTTTAGAAAGGCCTGGTGAACTGCTGGCTTCTCAGCAAAAATCTGAAATAAAGTCACATTAACAACTCTAAAGAAAATTCATGTCACAAAACAACACTGCAAAAATATATTCCACTACTTCAAGAAGAACATAAAGAATCGAAAACCATCAACTATGCCAGGAGAGCTACAGAACTTCCAAAGGAAAGTATCAAATGAATAGGAACTAGCTTAAAGCCTTAAACAAAGTGCAATGCAGATAGAGGATTTATCATAAAGTCAATGTCAATAAGTGTGGGGAAACATAAACAACATTGCCTGGTGATTCTACACTGACCAAAGGTAAATCACCAAGTATAGAGGCTACACTCTACAATTACTGGAGATTCTGGTAAGTAATTATTGCAAACCTAAACATCATGGCACTGCAGACTCCAAAAACCATAATCTGTTAAGGTAAAATCAATTCCACCCATCATTTTTATGTGAACGAAAACTGAGGAAGGCTGGTGAACACAATCAAGCTATAGTGACCCAAGAAATGGAAGCAGCAAGGAACAAAACTTACAAAAACCACAAGGAAGAATCGTGATGCCAGGCTCTAAGGTAGTCAGAGAAAATGAAAATGAAAGGCTCCTTGCAAGTTACTATGTGCCTATTTTATCTAAAGAACTTGAAAATGAATCTGGTGGATGCAAATGATTTAGGAGACGTTGAGAGCACAGAACCCAATTACATCAGCAGTGACATATATGTTCAAATCAGTATTCCTCAGAATATTAAACGATGTTGGAAGACATGTATGGATAGAAAAAAAAGAAAGAAAAGATCCAATGTTTACCTGATGAATAATCTCTGGAGTCAAACTGAAGGTAACTTTATTTGTCTGCAATGGACCATTACACAGACGAAGTTAAAACCTTCAGGGAAGCAAAATTGGCCAAGAAAATTGATCAAAATAAAAATCAAATGAAAGGCCACTAGAGATCATATTATTGTTTATACTAAAAGGACATGGAGAACTCATATTCTGTATAACTGCAAACAATTTAAGCATCATGTTCTTGCAAGAAAATACATGTATGCAACGCAACATATTCCATTGTTTATACTAAAAGGACATGGAGAACTCATATTCTGTTTAACTGCAAACAATTTAAGCATCATGTTCTTGCAAGAAAATGCAGGTATGGAACACAACATATTCCATGAGAAGTGGTGTTTAGAGAAGGTAAAACGAAAAAAAAAATGCATCGAGGTAAAATGTTGTACCCGACCATCAGTCAATGGTCTAACATCTGCAAGCATTGCACTTTTAAATCCAGCTCGTTGCTTTGATGCTTTGTGAGCTGCATCGTCAAGAAGATTCTGTGCACAACATAACTAGCCACTTTAAATACCCAACAATTAAGAGATCAAATTTCATAAACCATAAGCCAGTGAAAACAAATGAATGTGAACAGAAATTGAATAGAGATGAATAAATATTAACATCTTATAAGATATCAGACCAGTGTTTTACCACACAGTAAGTCTGAGTCAGACTTGCTGTAGTTACTCAGGCTTGGCAAAGTGTCAAGCCCCAAATGCCCCAAAATGGGGGGTTATATAGTTGCTACATAATAACTGTACTCAATTTATAATCAATTTCGTCTTTGACTAAATTAATCATAATTAACTTATTATTATTAGCTTCTTTTATACCTTTTATGGTTTTATGTTTCGTAATATTGTTTTCACTTTTCTCATTTTTCAGAGAATATGATTTTTAATCAGTTCCCTTTTTTTTTATTTTAGGAAAACTTTTTTCTCATCCTTGATGTAATTTGAGTTTGTTTATCACTTTTTTGTTTTCCACCTTTTTTGGGATATTTATTCATTTTTTGTGGTTTTTCTCAGCTCATCAGGCTGTTAAGCGCATACTCAGGTGAGATCAGGGGTAAAGCTCCACGGATGAGCCAAGTTGTAAAACACTGTATTAGACCGCTTAAAACAACACTGGTTTCAGAGCCCGATATGTATCAAGAATATTTAAACTTTACCTTTCTTGTCGCCCAAAACTCGGTTTCTGTCAGCACACCACCGATGACTAATTGCCTATGAAGTTTCTGCAATTCACTGTGAAAGGCGCCTTTCAGTGCCACCAACAAAATGCAAACATACTTCAGAAGAGAAAACATGAAGTTTGGATTGTTTCATTCATATGCATTCAAAATACCATCTTCCTTCAATTTTGCTTGTTTAGTTACAGAACCCAAAACCTAGGCCAAGAACCTAAGAGTTCCAAGTCACTAAACAATAGTGGTTGATGCCTACAAGTTAACTAGATTCGAAATCACCCTTTTTATTATATGTCACGAGAATAAAAATAATAGCATAAAGTATTACAAGTACTACACTATCAATATTAGACTTTTTTTGATAAAGCACTATCAATATTAGACTTGTTTCCCTCGTTTGTCATAGTGCAAGATGCATAAAATCGTTTTTTTTTTTTTGCGTGTATGTGCATGAGTGCATGCTTGTGTTCAGTGGTAAGATTCGAACTTGGGACATAGCGTTGCATTCGTCAACACCCAACACCTAACAGAATCAAGTCCAAGCCCAGATCCTATAAGGTGCATAAGATCAGACATCAGTTCTGGGCATAACACAAATTTGTGTAACTCAAAGAGAAAGCAAATGGAACAGTTTGACCTATTGAAGGTCCAAAAAGAAACTTAGTGGTCAAAAACACAAAATATAAACCATCATAACTCCTTTGAGATAAGTCTACAAAGTTAGGTTGGATACAAGAAAGAAGCAACAGGCAATTTGTATGGATTTAGAAGACGATAAAAGACAATGTAACTCACCTATCCTCACGCAGAAGATTCATTCTCTGCTCCATCTCTGCCATACTGAGTTGATTATCATGTTGAGTAGTAGGTTGTGCAGGTACAACTTGGGCACTCTGATCAGATGGTGGCAGGCACTGGAGCCTCCCAAGGACCCTTCCTGTCCAATTGTCAAAGATACAAACTTTTCTAAAGGAATATTTTGTGATCATTGTGATTTGTGAAAAAATAATGAGAACTTAAAAGTAAGACTTCCTTGGCAAATACGAATTGCTGATTAAACAAGTAAATATCTGGGATCCAAATGCATATGATGCTTACCATGGGCAAGGTTCTAGTCTCAGCCCAACAATAAAAGAAAGTAAGATTTCATTTCCGGCCTAACAATTCCCATCACTTCAGACTAAATAATGGACAAGTAAGCACTCTTCCTATTAATATAATGTTCTCTAATTGCCGGAGAAACCAGTGGATGAAGTCATCATGGAGTACCCACTCAAAGCCAGCTGGATGACAAAAATGCCTCCTTCCTTTATGGTAATTAACTAATAACCAAGAAGCAGTGAACAAGTAACATTAGGGGGGTTGACAATGGTCTGCAAATTGAAGAAAGCCTTCATGGACTCAGGCAGTCTCCTAGAGGGAGGTCTAATAAATTTTGTAAGGTAATGGTCGACAATGGATCCTCTAGGAGTAAAGTAGATCCTTTCTTTTCTTTGTTTCTGGTTAATTGGATCTTATTGGTTGCGTGCATGCACTAGTCCATCCAAGGAAGAAAACAAAGAGAATACGGACAACTGCAGAGAAGAGACGGGCTACAAGAAATGTGGGGGATTGAATATCTAGAGAACAGGTTTAAACATGAATTGACGAAGCCTGTGGTCAGGCCCATTGATGAAGATAGATGGTTGTGTGAACCCTTCATGAGCTATGGAGTTGGTCAGCTCTCTGGATTTCCTCCATGAGTGCCCCAATGTGTGAACACAGATTGTATATGTTAAAGAAATGTCAGGAAAAAACCACAAATGATTATTCAATTTTAGTGGGGAAGAAACCACCAAGGATGACTTACAATGCTCTTATGATGACATTAGCAGTGATAAACAATCAATACAATAACAAAAGAGTCAATTTATGGCAGCATCTGACAAGAACTTGAGGAACTAAGCTATTTTCTTGGGAGTAATGTTCTCACAGAAAAATATCTTTGTGAAGTCATTGACACTTAAGAAGTCCTGAGTTTAGAACTAGGAATTCCATTGTGCAAAACCATGACATAAATTCTGGACCTCCTGAGGATCCTGATATAACATGTGAGTAGAATCATTTGTCCTGACATTGCATGACATGACTTCTTGTATATTGGTTTCCAAAGCACTAAGGAAATTACAAACAAAAATTCTAGAAAATACCAACAGTAAAAAAACTATCAACAAGAAGAATGGAAAATATAGTCTCACAGAAAGATCAAATATTATATAGGAATTACCGACAAGATCCCGGCAAACATCCCTGTCTTTAAAGTTTGCAAACTCAAACATGTATCCTCCACCCTGAAATAATGTAGAATGAATTCAGCTTACGACAAATTGAACTCTAGGAATGGAAGGTAAACAGTCACCAACAAATTCATAGAAAGAAATAAGATCAAGGTCTCCTTAATTCTTTTAGAAACTTAAGTATATGCTTTTGATACAATACCTTATCTTGTGTTAGATTCAAAAGTGCTTGCTTTGAACCCTCTTTACTGAACTTATGACCTGGAAAAAGGAACAAGGTGAGTAAAGTTGAAGAAAAACATATGAAGAACACCAAACTACAGGGTTTTTTTTTTTTGTGATCAGGAAACACTGTCATTTAGGTTTTTCTTTTCTTTCCTTTTCATTTCTTGAGCAAGAAACACTCTCGTTACGTTAAAATGTTTAAGTAAGCATTAAAACATTAATTAATAAATGGGTGTGGTTTGCATAAGGTTGCAACCTTCAACAATCAATTTAAGGTGCACCCCAAAATTTTATCATAAGACGTAATTTTGGTGCCAAAAAATCTCAGCATAACTTCAAAATCTATTTTCATCTCTAATTATAAAATTTTAAACCCCAAAAATGTTTCAAATAAGTAGGTCTATAAACATATGGACATTATGAAAATGGACGGTCCAAATAATTTGTTGCAAGATGCACTGTTTTTGAGACTCGAAATTTTTTTTTTTTCATATCCATATATTTTGATGTCAAGATGATCAATTAGATGGCTTTCCAACATCAAAACAACCATTTCTGATTATTTTTGAGGTGCACCTTAATTGTACACTTTAAGGTTGCATCCTTATATAAACTTTTTCCTTAATAAATTGTTTCCCTTGGTCTCTATCAAGAGGAAATAACTGATAATAGAGAAATGATGAACAATTCACAAAGAGGAGCACAGTATGGTCCCCATAGACATCAAGAGATTCATATATATCGCCTTGACTATCCAATCAATAACCCAAAACCTACATTGAATTGATTATAACAAGAAATCCATTAATCCAAACTACTAATATTTAATCTTTCCAATGTTTTCCAGCAACAATACAGAAAAGTTTTGGAAAGTGAACCACAATAAACAGTAAGAAATGGGCTCAATACGACAAAAGTTAACCCCAGAGAGTAATCCCGAACACATAGTCCTCCATATTGAATAGCAAATACTCCAATGGGTACAATCTTAGAGAAGAACTTCCAATGCATGTATCCATTACTGAAACAGTAAATGCCTCTTAAATGATCATTAGCACTCATAAGATAATAACCTCTAGAACTAAGATTTACCTTTAATGCATCTGAAACTAACATCAAGCTTGACAGATGAACTTGGGTCATTTGGTCTGAATATGAAGCTATCATCTCTCTGCACGCCAAAGAAAGAAAAAAGGAAGCTGCTTATTAGGGCATTCCAATTCCAACGGCTAATTAAACAATGCAATACTGAACCTTTATCAATAGAGCAACCAACTTACAACTTATTCATCCCCTATGAAGCAACCAAACACCTAAAGAACAACTTCCCAATTTGTCTTTTCATTTATCTTAGAATGAGTGCAATTTTTTGACGCCACTTCAATTATAAATGCTAATATTAATGTCTATGATAATAGACAGTCCTCAATCCAGTTTATAGTCCAGAAATTTGTTCACGATCAGCAGCCTTCTACAACTAATTGAACCCTCCCCATCTTTCCTTTCTAAATTCATCTACCAAAAATCAACAATGAGACAACTAATCATGACAGCATCAAAGAACAGAATATCCTAATTCATCACTGATCAATCAATCAATCAATCAGAACATGATACAAAACACAAAGTAAATTTATAACAACCAACCAAATACCAATTTTTATGCCAAATAGGATCAAACCAATCAAAAATTCAAAATAGAAAACCAAAATCGATCGAATGACAATAGCCAAATGCCAGTTATCAATTCAGAATCACACATTATCGATCAAAAGTCGAAGTAAAGACATGAATGTACAAATTGCCATCAATCTGCGTACCATAGTTAACACCCCTGCAACTCCAGGATCCTTGGGCCCAGAGGCCTTATACTTAGCACGCATGGTCACAACTGGTGGCTCCATTTCCAAAGCCACAAGTTTGATTCAGGGCATTCAGTGGCTAATCACGCGACTACGAAATCAAAATTTTAAATCAACAACTTAACCATCAAAACATCGAATTTTAGGGTTTTGGTTTCAAAGCGGCCATTAGACTCAAGCAGCAATGCCATTACAAGGCTCGAGGGAGAAATCTAGGGCGACCATAGCTGAAATTTAGGGTTTTTATTAATCGATGATTGGATGCAAAAGATTTGAGAGAAAATGGTCCAAATGCCCGCCATTGAGCAGGGACTATGCCCTAATGAAAAAAGCGCTATTTTTATTTGTTAATGCAGAAAAGGCGACCGTGGAGAAAGGAGCAGGTGACAATTATTTATACGCCCAAATATGGAGGGAAGGTTTTAATTACTTTTCCTCGATTTCTTGTTTTCTTTCTCCGGTCTTTCTGCCAAGAAATTTCAAAACTCTAATTATTTCCGGGGATTATATAGAAGGAAAAAGCTTTCGATTGACCAATCTAACACTTCAAAAGAATTTTTTTCGGATTTTGGGATGCATTCCGCCTATAAGATTTCACATCGGCTCATGCTTTTTTTTTATTTTTTTAAAAAATTATTTTACATTGGATAATTGTAAGTAACTGCGACCTCCTCATATGAAGGTATATAATTTACTCCCATATGAAATCTTATAGGTTGGATGCATACCAAAATTCGAAATTTTTTTTTTTGAAGTTTGAGCTTGATTAAATGTAGCTAGCTAATTTTATATCCAATGGCTCATACTAATTTTGACCATTTTGTATCAATTAAATGGTCTTGTTATATACTTTTTTTTTATTTTTGTCAAAAATATTAATATTTTAAAATTCATTGATTTATATCGAGAATCATAAGCTGGAATTGGTCAGAACCGAACTAGTTTGGAAAAGTATTTATCAAGCTCTTGTATTTTCCCCCTTTTTTTTTAGGTTTACCTAATGTTTTCTTCACACAGCACCTCGAAAAGAAAAAAAAAGCCCTTGTTTTAATTATTTTTACTTTATCTTTAAATATTTTTTCAAATCATTGAGTCAAACCAATCCTGCTCTAGATCGATGATCTTGTGATCCTCGAAATGGATTTGTGGGGTGGACGATCTACCCCAATAATCTAGGTTTAGAAACAACAATAATTAAAATTTTAAAGAATGATGTTTCTATAAGGTGCCCACCTTAGACTATACAAGCATAGCGTTCTTTTAAATTTTTCCAGAAGGTTTAGTTCTTGTGTAGAGAACCTTACGATAGCTTGAAAATCCATAGTCAGCCCCAATTATAAAATTTAAAATTTTAAAAATGGTGTAAATTGAGCAAATCTATAAAGACTTTAAATATTGAAAATAGACGATGTAAATACCTTGTTACGAGATGCACTATTTTTAGAACTTCAATTTTATTTATTTTCTTATATCCATACATCTTGATATTGAGCTATCAATTAGAAGTTTTATGAACTTCATAACAATCTTTTTTGCTTATTTCTACAGCATAAAGTTGCAACCTTATAAAAGCTTTTTTAAGTAAAAGTAGTAAAAATGATTCTCTTCCAAATAAACAAAATCACTACCATTGTGGTTATAAGGATTAAGTACGTTAGGAAAATCAATAATCCTCCTTAAATTTACCTAGTCAAGATATGCACATATAAGTTTGGATATTTTGTGTAAAATTATGAAGAAGTTATGACGAAGTTCTTTTATAAGATTATTATTTAAAAAGAAAGAAGCCCTTTTCTTTTCTTTTTTTTTCTTTTTTTCTTTTTTTTTTTTTCTTTTTTTTTTTTCTAAACAACCTATAATTGGAAACTTCAAGATCGAAATAATTATTTGTTTGTATTCCTTTACGTAAGAAAGCAAAATTGAAGTTCAAATTTTAAACCCATCTTTCGAGTGAAACCTTGTTTGGAGTTTGAAAACCCAACACAGCAACCTAATATTTTAGTGATATATGTGTTTGAAACTTCAAGTTCTGGAGCCACTGTGCCTCTATCTTTTTATGAGAATGATGGTCGAGAACTTGGAGTTTGAAACCCATCACACTTTTATTATTAAAATTATAATTGTTATTGTTATTGTTGTCGTTGTTGATGTTATTTGTTGAAATGGTGGAACCCCTGCATATTTTTTAAACAATTTGTCAGTCGTCACACATTATGCTAGACTGGGCTCACTTTTAAAAAAGGGGGTTTCTAGAATTTTCCCTAAATATGTACATAGCCCGGCATCACATTTATTTTTTATTCTATTTCAATTATTTATGATGAAAAATAGTTTACATTTCGCATTTTTAGTGAGATTTTATTTGAATGGGGGATCAGTTTTCTCTTTGTTGATATGAAGCATGCCAATGCAAAAATTGTGGATTTAGCTGAGTTTTTTGGGGGTGGGCAACCAAAAGAGCTCATCTTAAGAGAACGATCGCCAAATCCAATTGTACCTTGCTTCTCATGCCGCCATTGAAATGCTTAAAGAAAACGAGATCCTCTCGTGCGTCGTCACATACATTTGTATCAGTCTACTTCAATTTTTAGGGAAAATTATAAAAATCCTTCTAAAATGTACTTGTACTTTATCCACCTAATTTTTTCAAGCAAATACCCGATACAAAAGTTCATTTTTTTTGGATGAAAATACTCTTCCTTAACATGACAACTTATTTTGGTTGGAGAGGGCGGTCTGGAGATTATTTTTGCTGGAATTGTCGGTTAGATGTTTCATGGTGGCTGTCCGACGTGTCATGGTAGCTATCTGGCGCTTTGGAGTTGCAGTCCGGCATTTTGAAGGTCAGTTCGGTGTTTTGATATGGCAATCCGGCATTTTTAAGAGGCAGTATGGTGTTTTGAAGTCGCGGCTAGGCGTTTTGAAGTTGAGCAGTTGAGCGTTGTATAAGTACGGTCTGGCGTTTCCTTTTATTGGGATCCAAAAAAGATTTGTTACATGAAAGAAAGGTATTTTCGTCAAAAAAAATATAGGGGTATTTGCTAAGAAACATGATTTTTTTTGTGGAAAGTTGTTAAAAAAATTTGGGTGAGGATAAATTATGTATAAAGTTCATTTTGAGGTTTTTTTTTTTTGCAATTTTCCTTGAGTTTTATATCTCCCCCTTTCTACTCCACCGTCCGGAACTAGGTCCTTTGACATCAATGAGTGTTCTTGAATTATTATTATTTTGCAATTTTTCCTAATTTTTATATCTCTCCCTCTCTACTCCACCATCCGGAACTGGGTCCTTTGACCATGACCAGATCAATGAGTGTTCTTGAATTATTAAGTTACCGATCGACTTCGGTCAAGGGGAGACTCGGGAAGTTTTGTTTCAAGGATTCTCAAAAAGAAAAAATTTGAGCATTCAATTGAAATCAAGAAGGCCAAGGCAGATCGGAAAGATTTGATAAGAGTATATTTGAGCAATCCAAAGGCTAGTTTCTACTCTACAGAAGCACAACAATGGGAATAAAAGCAAATTATAAGATGCAGGAAGAAGAAAAAAGTACTTGGTTCATCGATATTTGGACTTCAGAATAATTGATGACTAACCATTCTAACCCAAGTTCATGAGCTTCAAATAAAATTTTGCAAAAAAATGACAACCGATAAACATTAACATGTGACTAATGTTTTAAGACCCCGATCATTAAGGCAGATCTTTCACCCACAAATCTGTATCAAATTGTTGGATCGGTGTTTCGGACTAGATTTGGATCAGTCCTAATGGGTGGACTGAAAAATTTCAAAATAAATGAAATAAAATAATCATTAAAACAATAGTTGAGGTAGGAATTTAAAGGGGCAAAAAAAATATCAGACTTCAAAAAAATAAAAATAAAAACTAAAAAAAATAAAATGGGGTTTTAAGGGGTTTCAACGGTTTAGAAAAATGTCCCTTTTTTTTTTTTTTTAACGGTAATTTCATTGAAAAAAAGAGAAATTACAAAACAAGAAAAAAAAAAGAAAATGGAAAATTGCAAACCCCCCCCCCCCCAATGTAGGCATTTTATCCACTTAACTTTTTCTAACAAATACCCTATACAAAAGTTTTTTTTGAACGAAAATACCCCTTCTTTACCTAACAATTTTTTTTTGGTTCGAGAGGGCGGTCCGGCATTTTAAACTGGCACTCTGACGATTATTTTTGGTCCAATGGCCCGTCCATAGTGGCAGTCCGACGATTATTTTTTGCTGGAACGGGCGGTTTGGCATTTTGAAGTTATGGTCCGTCATTTTGAAGGGTCATTTCGGCGTTTTGATGTGGTGGTCCTTGAAGGGGCAATCTAGTGCTTTGATATGGCGGTCCGGCATTTTGAAGGGGCAGTCCGATTAGCGGAAAGACGTTTTGAAGTGAGGAGCCTGTTTTGATATGGTGGTCAGACATTTTGAAGGGGCAATCCGGCGCTTTGATATGGGGTCCGTCATTTTGAAGTGGCAGTCGACGTTTTGGAGTAACGGATCAACGTTTTGAAGTGAGCACTCAAGGAGCAGTCCGACGTTGTGGAGTAGCGGATCAACATTTTGAAGTGAGCACTTCGGTGTAGTACAAGTGCTCTCCGGCGTTTTCCTTTATTGGAATCCGAAAATGATTTGTTACATGAGGGAAGGGTGTATTTTTATAAATAATAATAATAATAATAATAATAATAAATAAAATTAGGTATTGATTAAGAAACGTGATTTTTTTTGAGAAATTACTAGGAGAAATTGAGTGGGGGTAAAGTACATAAAAAGTCCATTTTGAGAGGTTCTTACCATTTTCCGAAAAGAAAAAGAAGAACGGAATCGAGGAGAGAGGAAAAGAAAGGAATAAGAGGGAGAGGAGAGCTTGGCGAAAAACTAATTTCGCAAGAACATCAAAATCATCAATTTTTTTGTTATTTAAAAAATGTGTCTCAAAACAACGGGATACCATCATTAGAGCACAAATTTTCATATGATCAGGAGCCACTACATGTGTAGACCCCGAGGTCATCCAAGTAGACCTCGGATTACTTACACCCAAGGTTTGAAAACTCGGCGAGTCAAACCAGACTCGCCCGATTCGACTCGGGAATCGACAGACCTTGTGCCAGCTCCACTACAATACTGAGAATCTCCCGTGTCTTGAGAGAACCGGGCGATTCCCAATAGTGAATCACTGAATCACTGTTGAGATTCATCCAAGAACACGGGCCGCACAGTGTTTTTCACGATTTTCATGGTTTTTTGTCATTTTCTTATCATTTTTCATATTTTTCAGCTTTATAATCGAATCTTGCAGGCTTTATTTTAAAATTTTCAGCCATTTCAGTCAATAAAAGGTAGTAAAAATCATTGATTTTGATCAAAAAAATTTGGATCAGTGAATAATCCTAAAAAAGCTTTAGGGTTCCGCTATTTCTTTGATTTCAAGCAAAAGAAGGCATCATTTTTTGTAAACTATA